AGCTGGGATCATGATTGTTGGCTTCTCCTGGGGAGGAACTTTTCTCTTTATTTGGGTTTTTAAGTTTTGGGGGTTTTCAAAAATCCTCCTGAGGATATTTTCCCATTAATTAAAAAAAAAAAATATATATATATATATTTATTGATTTCAGTGAAGAAAGGAGAGGGAGAGAGAGAGAGAGAGAGAAAGAGAGAGAGAGAGAGAGAGAGAGAGAGAGAGAGAGAGAGAGAGAGAGAGAGAGAAACATCAATGATGAGAGAGTCATTGATCGGCTGCTTCCTGAATGCCCCCCACTGGGGATCGAGTCCACAACCCAGGCATGCGCCCTTGACGAGACTCAAACCTGTGACCCTTCCGCCTGCAGGCCGACACTCTATCCGCTGAGCCAAACTGGCCAGGGCAGTGGTCGGCAAACTGCGGCTCTCCAGCCACATGCGGCTCTCAAGCCGCAGTTTGCCGCTCTGTTGACTAATGAGCTTGCCTGCGATTGTAGACTAAATGTTTCCGTGTATTTGGAAACTGAGGATTAGGCCATTGTGGCATATGGTGTGCAAAGAGGTAAAGGGTAGTATTTGTCAGTGGTCGGCAAACTCATGAGTCAACAGAGTTTGCCTACCACTGAGCTAGAGCTTCCCATTCACCTTTAGAGAGGGGGCGGGGGGAGAAGGGGAGAGAGAGAAACATCGACGTGAGAGAGACACATCATTCATCGTTGCCTTCCGCGCAGGCTCTGACCGGGCTGGGAACTGAGCCTGCAACCAAATAAGTGCTCTTGACCAGGCATCAAACCCATGACATTTCGCTCCTCGGGCCAACATCAACCACTAAGCCAAATCGGCAAGGGCTGTTTTTAGGTTTTAACTCAATTCGCGTACTTTGGGGCAGGAAATAGGTTATGTGGTATAAAAGGGTCTAGGGTAAAAACAGCCTCTCTACTCCCTCCTCACCTGGCTTTCTTTCCCAGGAGAGCTAGGGTTCCTGGTCTCCTGAGAAGCTTCCAGAAATACATGTTGGCTAGTTTTCTCATCTGTGTGGCAACTGTGTTATCGCCTTCTCTGGCAGCCAGGACACCTTGCTAAGGGGCTGGGTGGGGTGGGGTGGGGTGGGATGGGGTGGGTGGAGGTGGGTGGGTGTGGGGGGGAACTGGCCTGTATTGCAGCCTGCTGCCTGGGGTCGGCCCGGCGAGCCCTCTGGACGTGCCTGCAGGACCTGTGAGCCCTCCACCCAGTGAATCAGCCCTCCAGCGGCGTGAATCAGGCTTCCTGGCAGCATGGCCCGAGGGGTCAGGCCCAATTCTCTCTTGGGCTCTTTCATTCGCTCTCTTGCTTCTGTGCAGACTTGCCCTCCCCGCCCACCCCCTGTCCCCCTTGGACCCGTCCTGGAAAGAGACATCTGCTTACCAGCAGGGCCGTTAACATCGGGACAAAGGGAGAGAGTAGAGTTGCTTCTCTAACATTTATTTTTTTTACATTGTATTCATTGATTTGAGAGAGAGAGAGTTGAGGGCGTCCATTTGCTGTTCCAGTTACGTATGCGTTCATTGGTTGATTCTTGTATGCGCCATGGCCGGGGATCGAACCCCTGACCTTAGCAACCAATGGAGCCGCCGCCCGGCCGGGGTCTGAGCTGCCTCTTTAGGATACTGGCCGCAGCTTCCAGGGTCCTGGGGCCGGGGACACCCCACAGATGTAAACGTGCACTTTTCTAAAGAGGGGTCCGTTTCCATCGTTTACAAAAAGCCCTGAGCTGACCCCATCTCCCCCCAAAAAAGAGGGAGAGGAAGGTTCTAGAATGTTCAATACGTGGCCATCACCTGTGGACTGAAAGGTCCCAGGTTCGATTCCGGTCAAGGGCTTGCACCTTGGTTGCAGGCACATCTCCAATGGGGGGGTGGGGGGGTGGGAGTGGGGGGTGTGTGTGCAGGAGGCAGCTGATCGATGTTTCTCTCTCATCGATGTTTCTAACTCTCTATCCCTCTCCCTTCCTCTCTGTGAAAAATCAATAATATATATATATATATATTTTAAAAATAAGTGGCCATTTAATGGTCCACAAAGCCCCCAACATGCAGCGACCTCTGAGTGCTAAGGGGCCTGGAACCCGAGTGGGAAGGGGGGTCTCCGAGAGGCGGGCTTGGTGAAGGTGAGAATCGCAGGGGCCTAAGGGACACGTTTGTGTGTGGCCTGGGTGTTGTGTGTGTGTGTGTGGGGGGGGGGGGGGTATGTGTGACCGGATGGGGCGTCAGGGGCCTGAGGTGGCCTGTGTGGGCTGGGGTGGAGGTGGTGGGGGAGGGACAGAGGGCTCAGCCCCTGGGGCTCCTGTGCGCTCGCTAGGTGTCTATTTGAGAGAGTGTGTGTGCCCGCCTCAGCGGCCTGCCAGCCCCGCCCCGCCCTGCGCGGGGGAGGAAGATCTTATCGCCTGGGTGCCGCAGGAGTTTCAGGCTTTCTCAGCAGCCAGCTCCCCCCTCCCCCCAGGCCCCCCGGCCTTGCCCCTCCAGCCTCTGGCAGGAAGTGGGCCGGCCCTGGGATCTCAGTCAGCTGCCCCCAGCAGTCACTACCTGAGTCCTCAGAGAGGAGCCCGGGGGAGATGGCTGTGGTCTCAGCGGCCGAGGGGAGCGGAGAGCGCCGGCCGCCGCAGCCCCATGCCGCAGCCAGGTGAGGCGCCCCCTCGCCCGCACCCTGCCGGGCAGTCCCCAGGTACCGGGAGCTCCCGTGGGGGTCCCTGCCACCGGCCTGGGGGCTCGAGGTCAAGGTCACGGGGAAGGGGCTCATCCTGGCGAGGCCCACCCTCTAGAGTCCCGCTGAGGAGGCTGTGGGGTGAGAGTCTGGGAAGTGGGGGTGCCGGGAGGTCTTGGGTTCGGGTCCTGACGGGTCCCTCACTTGGCTGTGTGGCCTGCGAGTTGGTGGTGTCTCTGGGCAATACTGGAGGGATGGGGCTGCCAGGAGAGCACAATCTCTCTCCTCTCCTGGGGCCGAGGCCTCCCGCCCTTAACGGGAGTTTGGGGTGCGGTGGGGATGGGGCTGCTGGGGGACAGAGCCACCCCTAGGTGCCCTTCCTTTCCCCACAGTCAGAATCCCAAGCCTACTGGGGAGATGCCCTCCAGAGGGAAACAGCGAGAGTGAGCCCCGAGTGTGTGTGTGTGTGGGGGGAGGGCAGGGGGGGTCAGGGGGTACGGGGTGAATGGGACTCATCTCTGGCTACTGAGCTCCTGCTTCCCCTCTCACCGTCTCTGCCCGTTGGAGCCTCCACTGTCCCGCCTGGGCTCAGACCTGGGCCTCTGACATGTGCCTCCGTCCCCGTCTGGGGAAGGGACTCAGTCATAAGGGGAGCTGCTCAGAGGTGAATGAGGTCATAGCTCACGGCACTAATGCCGGGCACCGAGCATTAGTCACCCCCTCATCCTCGTCCTCATCCTCCCGCTGTCACCGCCTTCGTTATCAGCATCTTCTTCTGACTTGAATCAGACGCGTTGGGTCAGTCCCTGGGGCAGCTCTGCGCCTCAGCCTTGGCTGGCGTCTACCGGCCGGTGCCCGTGACGCCCGCCTCGGGGTGGCGGTGGCCCCGTGAGTCAGTGGGTGGCCGGTGAAGGTGTGGGCGGGTGTGCGGGAAGCCCGGACAGAGCAGCCTGGGCTCTGCGTCTGCCTGCTTCTCCCTGAGGCTGGGCCTCCTCCGTGCCCTGTGATCTCGAGCAGGTTCTTGCCTGAGCCTCGGCTTCCTCCTCTGCAGGATGGCACAGCCTCAGAGCCCGCTAGGAGCCCCCCGCCCCCACCCCGGCACCCACACTCTACTGTCTGTCTGTCCTGGCTCCGTCCTTCCCCAGGCCCTGTGCCCCTTGGTATGCCCTGCACCCTCTGGCCAGGGCGAAGACTCCAGAGGGTACCTCTCCCCGCCCAGGCACGTCCCTCTGCGCTCTCCCAGGCCTCTGCCACCTCCTCCCACCTGGGGCTTCGTACCAGGTCCCGTCCAGGGCAGGGCTGCCTGCTGACACCCCTAGGGGGCACCTGTGCCCCAGGGGCGTGATGTAGTGACTAAGGGGAACAGTGGGGCTTGTCTGGAGAGCCTTTTGCTGGGCTCTGCACCCTTTGGAGTCCCAATCCTGTGCCCTGTAATATGTGGAGGGTCCAAAGGAAGAAGCGACCAACCCCACCCCAGGGACCTCACCCGTCAGGGGGGATGGTGGGCCGGGCACGGAGGAGCCCACGACCTCTCTGAGCTCCTTCCAGAGGCCGCAGCCGGTCCGTGCCACCCCGGGCAGAGGGGCTATTGGCCTTCCCTCTGGGGCCAGTGTCTGGGACGGGCTGGGCAGAGTGGGGCGGCGTGAGAGAACGGGCCTGGGGATGGGGCGCGGGGATTGGATCCCAGCTCTGCCTCTTCCGTGCACGTGACCTTGGGCGGGTTAATGACCTGGGGTGGGAGATAGACTCAGCGCAGTGACAGGAGGGGCCCTACTGGGCTCGGGGAGTCCGCCCTCGCGCAGACCCACATCTGCCCCTCAGCAGCCGACGGCCGTGGGAAACCTCAGGTCTCTGAGCCTCCGTTTCCTCCTCGGAAAACAGGGACCATCCGGGTATCTCCGATGCTCTTGCTGCTGCTTTTAAAGCTTCACACGGAGCCTGGCACGCAGGAACGCCTGGACAAGTGGTGTCATGTGGCTTAGGGGGCAGCTAGGTGGGGCGGGGGTGGGCTCTAACCCCAGCTGTCCTGGCCTCCCAGGTGGGCATGAGCATGCCGCTCCTGTTTCTGGGCCTCAGTTTCCCCATTTTGAACAAGGGGCTGGGCTTACCCAGAAGCCCTTTCAGCAATGACGCTGTGCGTGTCCCTTGCTCTGAAGGGACACGCATGTGTGGGCAGAGGGAAAAGCAGGCGCAAAGGCCGAGAGGCTGGATGGGCCGGTGGCAGCGGGCAGGGCGGGGAGTGGCGGGCAGGGTGGGTGCTCACCGTGCTCCCTCCCCTCTTCCTCCCTCCAGGGCTCCCTTCCCCGGCCCCCACCTGTGGATGTGATGGCGGCTCCTGCTCTGACCTGGCGCCTGTCCCTCCTCGCCTTCCTCCTGGCCCTGGCCAGGGCGTCCACAGCGGTGAACGGTGAGGATCCTGGCGTCTGGACAGCGGTGCCCTCCTTCCGGAAGGAGGCCAAGGCCCTTCTCGGTGGCAGGCCCTGCTTCTTGGTAGAAGGGCCACCATCAAGGGCAGGAGGAGGGAGAAGGAAGGCAGGCACCATGGAGCCCCCTTTCCCTTCCCCCCTCTGTCCTGCCCCCCCTGTCCCCACATGCCCCTCCGAGCCACAGGAAGACACTGGCGTCTCATCCCTGTCTCACCTCAGCCTTGCAGCCTCTGGGGCTCAGTTTTGTCCTCTCTGACGTGGGCCGCTCACCCCTTCTCCGCCCGCCAGGGTTGCTTAGCTTCTCAGCTGGTACTGAGGGCCCGAATTGGGGGTGGCGGGGGGACCCCGAGGGCCGGGCAGTGGCCCCTGCAGCCAGCACTCACACCTCCTCTTGCTGGCAGACACGTCCACACTCACCTGCTTCTACAACTCGAGGGCCAACATCTCCTGTGTGTGGAGCCGGGATGGGGGCCTGCAGGCCTCCTCCTGCCACATCCACGCCCAGCCGTACAAACGGTGAGTGGGGTCGCTGGCCACCCCGCAGACGCCTGGACGGCGGGATCTTACCGTCACTGACGCTTCCACTCCGGAGTCCTAACTGGGTGGGGGGGGGGGGGGAGGTGTCCGGCTGGCGATGAGCTGGACAGGGTAGACTGGGGGCATGGGCCTTTGGGCTTCTCTACTGAGGCTGGACTTGACCTTAGCGGAGAGGGGGGAGGAGAGAGGGCTTCCCAAGCGTCGGGAGGAACCTGGGATTTGGGGGAGCCCTGTGACAGCTGTGGGGACGGGACGTGGGGGTGGTGGGGAGCTAGGGGTGGGGGCCGTGAAGGGATTGCAGGATGCACGCAGCACGCTGACAGCAGCGGAGGCTCCTGTGGGTGGATCCGTGAGGCCCCATCAGGCCCCAGAGACCACTGCGGGCCTTCGGTGCGGAGGCCAGGGGTCCGAACAGGCTGGTCCGGATTGCGCTGGCTGCTGGGGGCCAGGCGGGGGTGGGAGGGCCGCAGAGGTGCCATGAGGGACGGAGGGCAGATTCGGGAACGGGCACTTTGTGAGGTTCCATAGAGCAGTGGCTCTCAGCCTCTCTAATGCCGCGACCCTTTCATACAGCTCCTCGGGTTGTGGTGACCCCAGCCATAAAGTTATCTTCGTCGCTACCTCCTAACTGTCAGTTTGCTACTGTTATGGATCGTGATGTAAATATCCGTGTTTTCCGATGGTCTTAGGCTCTGTCGTGACCCACAGGTCGAGAACCGCTAGCAGGGTCACCTAAGACCATTGGAAAACACGGATATTTACATCACGATTCATAACTACCAAAATGACAGCTATGAAGTAGCAACGGAAATAATGTTATGGTCGGGGGTCACCACAACACGAGGGGCTGGATTAGAGGGTCGCGGCATTAGAGAGGCTGAGAGCCACGGCCATCGAGCGTCTTCTGAGCAGTCCTTTTCCCTCTGAAGGCCCTGGAACGAATCCTGTGAGCTGCTCCCCGCCGGCCCGGCATCCTGGTCCTGCAACCTGATCCTGGGACCCCGAGATGTGAGTGTCTGTCGCTGAGGGGAGAGGACGGGGGGAGGGGGGGATGGGTGCTGAGGGGTGTCCTTCCAGAGATGCGCTGGGGCCCAGCAAGCCCCGTGGCCAGCCAGCGCGGGTGGAGCCGGATGCCCAGGGCGGGCCGGGGCGGCAGAAGGAAGCAGGGCCGCGTCTGAAGGCCGGAACGCAGGCCGGACCGGGGTGACTGAGCCCCTGTGCGTGAGCTCACACACTCTGCTCCCGCAGCCTTCCCTGTGTTGGTGGGCCCCCTGTACTCCGGCATGCCTCATCAAGCGGGGAGAGCACCCAGAAATAGTAATACACACACCCTACTCTTCCCGAGGTTTTCCCAAGTGCAGGGGGGTGTGGGGTCTGGTGTGTGGGTTCCAGAGCTGGACAGTCTGGACTCCAGCTGCTCCGCTGTGCACCAGCTGGGTGACACTGGGTGGCTTCCGTGCCCTGTTTCCCTCCCGTAAATCGGGGAGGACAATGGGAATGACAGGGCTGGTCTGAGCATAAAACGCTTGCAACGCCACTCAGAGCAGAGCACGCTCTTGACAGGACTGTTCGTGGGCCTGAGTGAGTGGCAGAGCTGGGGTCGCACCCAGGCCGGACAGACCCCAGCCTGGACCTCTCACCATGGCACTAGGCTGACTCTGGAAGGACATGGGTTGTGCCCATGTGGGTGCATGCTCAGCAAATAATTGCCTGGCAAAGCCTCCTTGGCAGTGGCGGGCACCAGGGACGCCCAGACCACCTTTCTCAACCACCGCCAAGGTATATGCATTCCCGTGAGCTCTGCGGGGGCCTGGCCTCAGGTCCTGGTCCCCCCAGCAGTGTGGCTTTCCTGACTGTGTGGCCTCAGGCAAGTAAGTCCCTAGGCCTCTCTGTGCTCCAGTCTCATCAGCTGCAGGACGAGGATAGCAATAGTGCCTGCCTCACGGATGCTGAGAACACCAAGCGAGGCAACACGCACAGGCGGAGCACTCGGAATGCAACGTTGGCATCCACAACAACAATCATTTCTCTATAGAAAAGCCTAACATGCTAAGTGTCCGGCCAATCGGTCGCCCTTTCATTCGGTCAACCGTTCAACCAGTCTCTATGACGTGCAGTGATCACCAGGGGGCAGCGGCTCTGACCGGTAGGTTAGTTTGCCGCTGGGGTCTGACGGCAGGGGAGTAGTCCGGACACACCCTGGAGCCCTCCCTCAATCCCTCCACCGGCAGGCCAACCTCCCGGTCTCTCCCCTGCCCGGCTAGCCCAAATCGGTCTGGATTGCTCCGGTCGGACTGGGCAAGACAGGCTGGACATGCTCTGGAGCCCTCCCGCAGTCCCTCCCCGGCTCCAATCGCCCCAATGGGGACTGGGTGAGACGGGTCAGACACACCCTGGAGCTAACCTCATATGGTCCCTCCCCAGCCTCTAAGATATTTCTTCTAATTAATTTCCTTTCAGTGTGCACGAGTTCATGCACGGGGCCTCCAGTAGAAATCCTATATAAAAAAAGCCCAGCGACCCAATGGTGGAACGACCAGAACGATGGATTGACCGGTCACTGTGACGTGCAGTGATCACCAGGGGGCAGACGCTCAATGCAGGAGCTGCCCCCTGGTGGTCAGTGCGCTCCCACGGTGGAAGCACCGCTGGGCTGACCGGGATGAGCGGCTGCTCTCGCAGCAGGAACAGCCGCTCAGATGGCGATCCTGCAGGCCACACCCCCCACCGTGAATGAATCCCGAGCACTAATGATAATACTAATGTTACCTGGGGCAACCTGGCCCCCAGAGGAGCTGGAAGAAGGCTAGGGAAGGGTGGTTGGGCAGAGGGAGGAGTTCCCAGCTCTGGGAACGCTGATGATCAGGTTCATGGTTTGCTCCTAGTGGCCCTGCACCAGGCCAGGGAGACTGCCTGGGTCCTGGGCATACACACAGCCCCCGGGCTCCAGAGCGCAGACCCTCAGGGTGCCTGCAGCGGGCTGCCTTCTGCAGGGCTGCGGGGCTGCCTCCGCACAGGGAGGGAGGAGGCCGCCGTACGCTGCTCACTCGGCAGCCCTCAGTCAGGCGTGGCGGGCCAGGGCTCGGTCTCTGTGCAGCTGTGGACGGAGCCTGGGTTTGAATCTGGGTTCCCCGGCAGACCAGACCAGACGTGTGACATTGGGAAATCCCTTAACCTACCTGAGCCTCGGTTTCTCACCTGCAGGAGGGGGTGGGCTGCTTGAGAACGGGCCAGAGAAGTGGCTAAAGCACCTGTGCAGTGCTTAGTGCCTGGCCATTTCCTTCCAGAAAAGTCAGGGCGGGGGGTGGAAGGAGATGGGGAATGGAGGCTCTCACACTCAAAGCCCTGCCCCTTCTTGGGGACCCATCCTGCTCGCCCACCTCTTGTGACCGGGAACCCCCTCTCTCCCCAGGCGGCTCGCTTCGCTTTAGAGCAGGGGTTGACAACGCACTGTGGCCCCTGGGCCAAACCTGGCCTGCTGTCTGTTTTTGTCAATAAAGCTTTATTGGCACATAGTCACGCCCATTCTCTTCCATGTGTGTGAGTTGAGGAGTTATAACTGAGACCATATGGTCTGCCAAGCCTAAAATACTCACTACCTGATGCTTTACATCAGAAAGTTTGCCGACCTCTACCTTAGTGCTGGTGTGGGCTGGGCCCCACCTGCATTGCAGTCTTGGTCTCCCCTCCAGCATCTCCCCCTTCCCCCCGCCCCCCGCCCTCATCCCAATGGCCTCCCCCCTCTCCCCGCCCCAGCAACACCTCTGCCCCTTGCCTGCAGGCCCAGAAACTGACCGCCGCAGACAACGTGAGCATAAGCGTGAGGTGCCTGGAGGGGGAGAGGTGGACGAGGGTGCTGACCCAGGATTTCAAGCCCTTTGACAACCGTGAGTGAGGGGTCCCTGGGGCAGTGGGTCTGGGCACCTCCTTCCCTGCCTTCTCTCTGGGACCTCACTGTTCTAGCACTGCCCGCTGCCCCCGGGATGAAGTCCTGGCTCCTTACCCTGGCATCCAAGGCCATGTGGGAATCTGCCTGGCTTCCCCCCAGCATCCTCCTCTGTGGCCTGTATCCCTGCCACGCCAAAGGCCAGCCCTCGGAACTCACCCACCCCATGCCTCTGAGCCCTTGCACCTATTGTTCACATGGTCTGGAAGGCTCTTCCCACCTGGAAATTCCCACTCACCCTCCAAGGCCCAGCGAGGAGTCACCACCTCCGGGAGGCCTTCCCAGACTCGCCCACCCCCTGGTACCTCCCCTCTCAGGGAGTTTATATCCTGGGTTCCCACTGCCTGGCGATGGGCCTGTCTCCCCCACTCAGTTGTGAGCTCCCTGAGGGCAGAGCTAACCCATCCCTGTCTGCAGCCTGAGGGTCCAGTCCGTGCGGTGCTCTGGGGGGTGTCTGTTGAGTGACTGGGTGCCTGGCCCCACCTTGCTGCTTCCCTCCAGACCTGGCAGGCCATCTCTAGGGAAGAGGTGGGCAGAGGCGGAGACCCAGGCAGCGTTCTAAATGCAGGCCCGCCGTGACAGAGTGTGGTCTGGCTGGCGGGTCCTTTAACATGTCTGGCTCGGTTTCCTCATCTGTAAAATGGGGACAGTCGGTTACCTGCTGCACATGCTCATTGTAAGGAGTCTCTAAGCCACGACTCTATCGTTGTTCATGGCATTCTACGAAGTCTCTGGATTATAGAAGTCAGATCAATTTAACCTCAGAACCATAAGACCTTGCAATCATAGCAGATTAACAGGATAATTAAATTGCATGAATGAGACGATCCGGTTAAACTGCTTAGCTCGTTTCTGAGCACAGAGGAAGGCTGCCCTGAGTCCTCCATTCGGAAGACAATAAAGCGCCTACTACGCGCCAGGTGAAGTTTCAGGCACCAGAGACATATGAGAGAATGGGTCCCTGCCCTCAGCAGGCTCACCGCCTGGCAAGGGAGACAGAACATGAGGAACCCAAAACAGGGATTCCATATGTCAGGTGGGGACAGTGCTCGGAAGACAGTGAAGGAGGTGAGGGGGTAGGCAGGCGGGTGGCGCCCCGGGAGGGAGGAGCAGCAGGTGCAGAGGTGGAAGTGGGAGCGCGTGTCGGCTTCACCCTCTCAGCGTCACGATCCAGCATCCCCCACGCCTGCTGTCCCCGTTCCTCCCCTCCAGTCCGCCTGATGGCCCCGGACGCCCTCCAAGTCGCCCAGGAGGGGAGCAGCACATGCAACATAACCTGGGACGCCCCCCAGACCTCCCACTACATCACCAAGCACCTGGAGTTTGAGGTCCGAACGAGGTTCCTGGACCACAGTTGGGCGGTGAGTACAGGGCCAGGCCCCGCCTGCCCCGATTCCTATGCTGCTCACCTTGTCCGTCCTCCATCTCCGCAAAGGCGGGACAGCCCCAGGCAGCCCTGCCGCTCCTCTGTACGGCCTGCTCCGGCCTCTTCCCTCCCTCCCTCCCTCCCTGCGTCCCCCGACAGCCCAGGGGCTCCAGCGGGTGGCAAGTTCCAGGCTGGCCCCAGGGGAGATTACACAGCCCAGAGACAGGCGCCTTCCCTCTGAGATCTCAGAGGCCCTGGGACGCCCCCTCTCCGCTCTTCCAATCCAGCTGAGCCCGGTCCACAGGGGTCTGTACTTATTCACCCATCACTTCTTTACCACTCACTCAGTCACTCAGCAAACATTTCCTGAATGCCTACTCTGTGTTGGGTGCTGGGGAGAGAGTGGGGGCCAGCCTGGCAAGCTTCCCGCTCTCAGGAAGCTCACATGTATGTGTGTGTGTATGGGATGGGGGGAGGCAGGCAGGCCGTCAGCAAACATGGAAACAGAAGACTGCAGGATGTTGATAAACGTTACCAAGAAAATGACACGCGGTGACACTTCCAAGAGGGATTGGGGCCAGGAGAGGCTGCTCTGAGAGCCAAGGTCCAGAAGGAGCTGACCCTGCAGGGGTCTGGGGCGGGTTTTCCACACCGCCTGGGAGTGGGGGGACCCGGAAAAGCCAAAGAGAGGATGCAGGGTGGGAGAGGTCTGTGAACGCGGTGGTGGTGATGGGGGTGGCAGGGCGACCAGCCTCAGGCCTGCGCGGTGGTGGGAGCTCGGCCGGGGCAGGGAGAGAGGGGAGGAGAGGAAGGGTCCCCATAGGTGCTGGAGGTGGGACCAGTGGGTTGGCACATGGCTTTGGTTGGAGGCGATGAGCGAGAGGGAGGGGTTTAAGATGAGGTGACCAGATGTCCCGCTTTTGGGACAGTCCGATTTTGAACAGTTTGTCCCGTGTCCCGCAGTGTTTTAAAAAAAAAAAGTCGGGCCGATGCCGGTTTGGCTCAGTGGTAGAGTGTCGGTCTGCGGACTGAAAGGTCCCAGGTTCGATTCCGGTCAAGGGCATGTACCTTGGTTGTGGGCACATCCCCGGTAGGGGGTGTGCAAGAGGCAGCTGGTCGATGTTTCTCTCTCGTCGACGTTTCTAGCTCTCTATCTCTCTCCCTTCCTCTCTGTAAAAAATCAATAAAATATATTTTAAAAAAATAAATAAATATTAAAAAGTCGGGACTTTTTTTTTAAAATGCCTCAGGACATGGGACGCGGGACAAATTGGCCAAAAGCGGGTCGTCTGGTCACCTTAGTTTAGGACGACCCCGGGGTTTGGGCCCCAGCAACTGGGTAGTCAGGAAGTCTTTGGGGAGGACGGGGTGGGGGTGGGAGAGGGAGGGTGACGGAGGGGAGAAAGGGAGGCTTTCCCCGCTTTGCTCCGCCTCCCGGCCAGCCCTGCCTCGGGAGGGGAGGTGGGCATGGGGGCCCCTTGGCACTGACTGTCCTGTCTCTGCCCAGGAGGCCTCCGTGCTGAGCCTCAAGCAGAACCAGCGCTGGATCTTCCTGGAGACGCTCGCCCCCGACACCCCGTACGAACTCCAGGTGCGGGTCCGGGCCCAGCGGGGCAGCCTCGGGACCTGGAGCCCCTGGAGCCGGCCCCTGGCCTTCCGGACGAGGCCCGAAGAGCGGCCGCTGGCCGGGAGGAGGCCTGATGGTGAGACGGGGCTGGACGGGAAGGGGCGGGGTCTTGGGACAGCGGGGGAGGGAAGCCTGGGGCTGAGCCACAGTGCTCACCGTTAGCTCGCAGGATGTGGCCCTGCAGTGTGAGCGGCGGGGGCATAATTGTGCCCATTTCACAGATGGGAACGGGGACTCGGGGAGGGCCTGGGGGGTGCTCACAGCCTGTGAGTTAGTGGGGAGACCAGAGAGAGTCTTTTTAAAATATATATATATATATATTTTATTGACTTTTTACAGAGAAGAAGAGAGAGGGATAGAGAGAAACATCGATGAGAGAGAATCATCAATCAGCTGCCTCCTACACACCCCCTCCTGGGGATGTGCCCTCAACCAAGGTACATGCCCTTGACCGGAATCAAACCTGGGACCTTTCAGTCCGCAGGCCTACGAGGCTCTTTTCACATTCTCCATCCTGAAGCCTCAGACGCCTGGTGCCTTCCAGGGTCGGGGGTGGGCTGCGTTCTCCCCTCAGCCTCAGTTTCCTCATCTGTAAAGTGGGTACGGTGATGCGGAGGCAGGGCTGCTGTAAGAAAGGCACACGTTGCCCCCCGTCAGCCTGGCTGGGCCAGCGGGATGCAGTGAAGGCCTCCCGGGCAGAGATGGCCCGCCCCCCAGCACAAGTTGCGGGTGGGGAGACGCGGGAGGGATCTGGTGAGGCGGGTGCTTCCCTAACCCCCCTCCCTGCTTCCCTCCCACCCTGAACAGCCCCTTCACTCGGCCACATCCTCGTGGGCATCTGCGGTGCCTTGGGCTTCATCTTCGTAGTCTACCTGCTGGTCAACTGCCAGTACCTCGGGCCGTGGTAAGAGCGCTGGCTTCCCCGTCTGCCCTGCACGCTCCTGTGTGACACCCCCCTCTCGCCCCCCACCCCCCGCCGTCCCCTCACCTTCCTCTCCCCTCTCCTTCTCCCCTGCTCAGGTTCAAGAAGGCTCTGAAGTGTCACATCCCAGACCCCTCGGAGTTCTTTTCGCAGCTGAGCTCAGAGCACGGAGGCGATTTCCAGGTCGGAGTTCGGAGGGAGCGGGCGGGAGCGGGCGGCGGACGGGTGCCAGCAAGGGCGTGGGCAGCGGTGTCGGAGGGCGGGGAGGCGGTCCTCAGGCTGAAGGGCACCTCCTGTTGGAGCCAGACTGCCTGGTCCTGATCCCGGCTCCACCAGGTCCTGGCTGTGTGACCCTGGGCAAGGGGTAGAACATCTCTGAGCCTCCGTTTCCTCGTCTGTAGAATGGGGAGGGATGTAGTGTTAATGTGTGTGCAGCCCCGAGGACGTGGCCTGGCCCGCGGCTGGCATCACTGCCACCAGCCTGCTGACAGAGTACTAGGTCTTGGCGAGCAGCGCATGGGCTGGAATTCAGCCCCACGCCCACCACACCCCCAAACCAGGGCAAACCCGAACCCCCGTCCATGGCAGCCCTGAGCAGGAGGCCCACCACCGGCGTCTGTCCTAACGCCCTCCTGGTTGGCTCTGGGGGTACAAGTACTCCCTTCACCACGGAGCCAGTGCACCCCTGCCCTGTGGGCTCCCCGACTTCTCCCCGATGCTCACAAGTCCTGCATCACCTCAGCAAAAACTCAGACTCACCTGGGACGTGCTGGCCCAGAGTAAGACTGAACTCCATTCAAAGCTGTGGTCTCCCCGCCCCCGCCCTCAGTCCACACCCACTTCAGGAAGGAAGCTTCAGCGGGAAGGGGGAGGGTGGGGTGGGCTGCCTCTACCACCCTCGCCACCCCTACCGCAGGCACCGGAGATTTGGGGGGAGGGCAGAGGTGGGGGAGGAGAGAGGTCAGGAGGGGCGGCAAAGCCATCCAGGACCTGCTGTCCTGAGCGGGTGTGGGGGTGCTCTCTCAGGCTGGCCTGGGCTCCTTCTGGAATTCTTTGGAAAACTCCCTGGGGCCTGGGAGATCTTACCTGCAGTTCTCTCAGTGTGGGCGAAGGTAGCCACGGAAAGCTCCTCCTTCAGTCCTGAAGGTAGTGAGCTCCCCATCAGCAAAGGTATGCAAGCGAGCCTTGCCTGTGTATTATAGCAGGACACGGCTGAAGGGGTTCCTGCATCATTCCTGTGTGGAGGCTGGACTCGGTGCATGCTCAGTCCTCCTCCAGCCTGACGTCTTTCTGACTCAATGGCCTAGGCCCGTGGTCGGCAAACCGCGGCTCGAGAGCCATATGCGGCTCTTTGGCCCCTTGAGTGTGGCTCTTCCACAAAATACCACGGCCTGGGAGAGTCTATGTTGAAGAAGTGCCGTTAGAAGAAGTTTACATTTTAAAATGTTGGCTCTCAAAGGAAATGTCAATCGTTGTCCTGTTGCTATTTGGCTCTGTGGACTGATGAGTTTGCCGACCACCGGCCTAGGCATTTTGAGGTAAAGTGGGGTCTTTCCTGGAGAGTTGCAAACCACTCCACGTGCCTACGAGGTCACCCCCAGTTACAGCGCCGGCCCCAGGCCTGGTGTGTGTGGAGTCCCTGGGGACGCACCGTGTGGCTGGGGGTCGGGCGGCCCAGAGGGACCCCCCTCTCTGTACAGGGGTGAGGGCCTGCCCCTCTTTCTCTCTATGGCGGGATCCCCAGCTGCAAGGCCATAACCCATTGCTCTGTCCAGGGACAGGACCTGGGCGTGCATGCGAGCGTGTGCGTGGGCATGAGGAGGATGAGCTCCCCCTGTGTGTGTCCCCTTTGGGCTTCAGGGCGTGTGGACGGTGGCCCCGACCAGGAAGTGGCTGACCACACACCCCTCTCAGGGCCCAGGGAGCCTGGCACGCCAGCACTGGCCACGGCCCTGGCCGCTCCCGCTGCACACTCATCGCCGCCGCCTCTGTGCACCTGCCGGCCTCCCTTTCCCCCTCTCCTCGTTGGCCACCCATCCTTGCCTTCTCCTTGTACATTTTCCTCCACATTTTCCTCCTCTGGCTTGGAGGAGGGTAGATTTTGTAGAGCGTGTGTGTGTTTTTGCACATGTGTGTGTGAAGTGCACGTGTGTATGTGCATGAAGTGTGTGAAGTGTGTATGTATGTATGAAGTGTGTGTATGAAGTGTGTGAAGTGTGTGCATATGAAGTGTGTATGTATGAAATGTGTGTGAAATTTGTGTATGGATTATGTGTATGGAGTGTGTGTGTGTGTGTGTGAAGTGTGTGTGTGTGAAGTGTGTGTATATGAAGTGTGTATGTATGAAATGTGTGTGAAGTGTGTGTATGGAATGTGTGTATGGAGTATGTGTGTGTGTGAAGTGTGTGTGTATGAAGTGTGTGTGTGAGAAATGTGTGTGTATGAAGTGTGCATGTGTGAGAAATGTGTGTGTATGAAATGTGCGTGTGTGTATGAAGTGTGTGTGTGTGAAGTGTGTATCTGTGAAGTGTGTATGTGAAGTGCATGTGTATGAAGCATGTGTGTGAAGTGTGTATCTGTGAAGTGTACATATGAAGTGCATGTGTATGAAGCATGTGTGTGAAGTGTGTATCTCTGTGTGTGAAGTGCATGTGTATGAAGCATGTGTGTATGAAGTGTGTGTGTGTGTGAATGAAGTGTGTGTATGAAGTGTGTATGTGTATGAAGTGTGTGTGTGAAGTGTGTATCTGTGAAGTATGCATGTGAAGTGCATGTGTATGAAGCATGTGTGTGACGTGTGTATCTGTGTGTGTGAAGTGCATGTGTATGAAGCATGTGTGTATGAAGTGTGTGTATGTGTGTGTGTGTGTGTGTGTGTGTCTGTTCAACAGCCCACTTAGCTCCAGAAACTTCTCTGGGGAGGAGAAGCGGGACAGTTCTCTACTGGACATTAATTCATCTGAAATACATTGCTTGGGCCCCGGGCTCAGTGCTGGGGGCACAGGCGCGCCTGGGGTAGCCCACAGGCCTGGGCTCCGGGGACCACAGTCCAGCTGTGGGGATCCCAGGACAGAGAGCTGGGGTTCTCAAATGCACCCAAGGCCCCCTCACACCACCCTGGGGGACCCCCCCAACTGTGCCCGCTGTTTCCACCTTCATTTTCCTTTTTTAAAAATATATTTTTTATTGATGTCAGAGAGGAAGGGAGAGGGAGAAAGAGATGGAAACATCAACGATGAGAGAGAATCATTGGCTAGATGCCTCACACTGGGGATCAAGCCCACAACCCGGACATGTGCCCTGACAGAGAATCGAACTGTGAACCCCTGGTTCTCAGGTCCACACTCAACCACTGAGCCACACTGGCCAGGCCGCGCCTTCATTTTCTTACTGGCCAGCTCCCTGCAGGTCCCTGGGAGGAAGCAGGGAGGATGCAGCCAACGGCTGTGAAACTGAGGCTCTGAGAGGTGCAGGGACCGGCCAGGTCACACAGCCAGCGAGCGGGGCTGGACTGGGTCTCCCTGCTCCTGGCCAGGGCCCTGGCCACTGCAGCACTGGGAAGTGCTCTGGTGGGCATGCCCCCATCTGCGGAGGTGGGTCAGGTGGGAGGCACAGGGCACTGGGAGGGGGAAGCGAATTGGGGGACTATGAGCTCCCACCAGAGAGATTCCCCTGGGCCCAGCTCTGCCATCCGCTGGCTGAGTGCTCAGAGCCAGGGCGAGCTGTATCGTGAACAGGACGCACCCTCGGCCCCTTCTGCCTCAGCATGGGCCGGTGGATTCACACACATGCTCGTCCCCACCCAACACGCGTGTTCCACCCCTCTCCGTGTCCTCCGTCCCTAGGGCAGTGCTAGGCTTGTCATCGGTGCTCAGTGAGCGGTCACTCGTTGAGCCAACACTGCCCTGGGCACCTGCAGGAAGCCAGGAAGGCCTGGCTGGGGCTGGGGAGCAAGCACCTCCTCGGGCTGACCCCGAGGGGTCCCCAAGCCAGTGGGCAGGCGGGTGGGGTGCGGGGGGTGGGCAGCCTTGGCTGGCTCATTGGAGGAGACATCCCACTCACCCCCTCTGGTCTGTCTCCCGGCAGAAGTGGCTCTCCTCGCCCTTCCCCTCGTCCTCCTTCAGCCCCAGCGGCCCGGCCCCCGAGATCTCCCCGCTGGAGGTGCTGGACCGGGACGCCAAGGCCGCCCAGCTGCTCCTGCTGCGGCCGGACAAGGGGCCCTCGCCCTCTCCTGAGACCAGCGGCCACTCCCTGACCAGCTGCTTCACCAACCAAGGCTACTTCTTCTTCCACCTCCCGGACGCGCTGGAGATCGAGGCCTGCCAGGTGTACTTCACCTACGACCCCTACGCCGAGGAGCTGGAGGAGGACGGGCCCGGAGCACCCGAGGGGTCCCTCCTCCCGCCCCTGCCACTTCCCCCCGGGGAGGATGACGCCTACTGCACCTTCCCGCCCCGGGAAGACCTGCTGCTCTTCTCCCCCAGTCTCCTCGGCGGCCCGAGCCCCCCAAACACTGCCCCGGGGGGCACCAGGGCCGGTGAAGAGAGGGAGGGGACCGCTCTGCAGGAGGGAGTCCCCAGAGACTGGGCCCCCCAGCGCCTGGGGCCCCCCACCCCGGGAGCCACCGGCCTGGCGAGATGCCAGTCACCCCAGGAGATTGCACTGGGAGAAGCGGGAGAGGAGGGCCCTGGCCCTGGTCCTGGCCCTGGCACTGGGGAGGGGGCCGGCTACCCCTGTGCCAGCCCTCCTGGGCAGTGCCAGGTCAGGACCCCCGCTTCCTGTCTGCCCCCGAACACGGATGCCTACCTGTCCCTCCAAGAGCTCCAGGATCAGGACCCTGCGTACTTGATGTAGACGGACAGTGGCTCTCCGCTGTTGGACCAGTGCCTGTATGTATAGGTCTTGCTCCAAGCTGACGTGGCACTTGACGCAAGCCCACCCAGTGGCTGACTGGCAGCCTATGATGTGCTTCAGAGCAGAAGCTCTGTCCAATCACAGAGGCCGGGCCTGCGCTGGCCAATCAGATTTCTTTCAGTCTTGGGCATTTGAACTCAGGGCTCCTTGAACAGGCACGCAGGGAGAAAGCACTCAAAGAGACTCTGCCTTCGAGGCCGGCCCGCCGCTGAGCTCCGCGGTGTCCAGCTGCCCCTCAGACATCTTCCCACCAGGCCCAGCACACTCAGCCGTTTGGCTCCGAGCCTCAGCGGCTGCTCCTTTACTCACTGTCCAAGCCGGGGACTGCAGGGGACCCTTTGACTCCCCCATCCGTCACGGGGACCCTGGACTTGACCTCTGAAGCATCGTTTAGCTCCCAGCCTGCAGCCGCTCCTCGAGGCGAGTGCTCATGTCGCCCAGGGTCTGCAGGGCCTCCTTTCGGCCTCACCCCCTCTCACCCACCCTAGGGGGCAGCTGGAGCACTCCTTCCAACACACAGACCCGGCCATGCGGGCCCCGTGGCCCTCTGTCCTCCGCTCACTTCCTGGCCTGGCCGTGGCCCCTCCAGCACCACACTGGCCGTTCCCTTCTGGAACCTTCTCTACGGTCCTCCTGAGCCGTAGAGCTCCCTCAGGCCCCCACACCTCTGCCCACGCCGTTCTCGTGCCTGGGGTGCCCTCTCCTTTCTCGTGGAGGCGACAAACTCTCCGCACCCTTCCAGCGTGGGTCAGCATCCCCTGGGGGGAAACACCGCCTCCATTAACGAGCCCGGACCTTGAGATTCGGTGCTGGAGTTCTCAGGGCCGCCGGGCGGCTGATGCAGAGGCCCCGTCATTTCCCTTTGGGATCTCTATTTACCTCAAAAAGCTTGGCTATTGCGTCTTTAAGGCCCAAGTATGGACACAAATGCCCCAGCGACGTGGACACCGGCTGGGTCCTCCCACAGAGATCTAAGGCATGCTGCTGGAAAGAGACGCCTCTTGAGCCACACAGGTTGAGGGTTCGATCCTCCTCCGCCCTCCACTGCAGGGGTCTCTTCGGCAGCCCAGGGGCTGGCACCCCTCCAAGGGCAGCTCCATTCACCGCACTTGGCACAGTGCCCTCGGCACCCCATCATGTTCCTCAGATGAATTCAATGAGCTGTCGGGCACCACCTGGCCTGGGCTTCCCGCACCCAGCTGCCTTCTCACACGGGGTGCCACCCACCTCCCAGAAGCACCCTGGGTACCTTGACTCTTCAGGGCTCAGAGAGAGAGAAAGCCCCCTGCCCGCTGGTTCCAGCATGGCCGCTCCAGGATGCTCATCCCTTCACAAGGCAGCTCCCCCTTCCACCTCCTCCTCAGGGCTCCCCACCACCCCTCCCCTTCTTATCTCTCTGTCCCTGGCACCAATCACACCTGTGATGTCTTTCACAACCTCCTTCCTTGACTTGGAGCCTTGCAAAGGTATTGACTTTTTATTTTTATTTTTTTATTCTATTGTTTGTTTTTTGTTATATATTTTTATTGATTTTTTACAGAGAGGGAGAGAGAGGGATAGAGAGTTAGAAACATCGATGAGATAGAATCATCCATCAGCTGCCTCCTGCACACCTCTTACTGGGGATGTGCCCAGCAACCAACGTACATGCCCTTGACCGGAATCGAACCTGGGACCCTTCAATCCACAGGCTGACTGCTCTACTGAGCCAAACCGGTTTCAGCTGGAGCTTGTTCTTGACAAGAGCAGGGAGAGTGCAATGCCTGCATTTATAGGTCCTGCTAAAGCTGATTTGGCACTTGACACAAGCCCACCCAGTGGCTGTCTGGCAACCTATGATGTGCTTCAGAACAGAAGCTCTGTCCAATCATAGAGGCCGGGCCTGTGCTGGCCAATCAGATTTCTCTCAGCCTTGGGCATTTGAACTCAGGGAGGGAAGGAGGCTCCTGGAACAGGCACACAGGGAGAAAGCACTGGAAGAGGCTGGAGAGGGGGTGAGCCCCAGCTCCTGACACAAAGACACCTACTGCTGAGGGGGCTCCTGGCCCTCACTCAGGATTCCTGTCTCCTGTACGTCCACAATAAACGCCCTTGCCTGAAGTCTCCCAGGTCTTGAATTCTTACCGTGGAATAGCTCAATTACCCGCACCTCACTTCCCACCTCCTGGCAGGACACCCTCTGTGCTGGGCAAAGAGCCCTGCACCTTTTGCGGCATACGGGGGCAAACTTGGGAACCGATCTGCAAGTCTGTTTCCACTCTGCAGAGTTCTGGGGCGGTTACATTTCTCAAGCCTTGGTCATTTGGGTTATAGATATTTTTTAAAATATATTTTACAGAGAGGAAGGGAGAGGGATAGAGAGCTAGAAACATCGATGAGAGCGAAACATCCATCACCTGCCTCCTGCACGCCCCACACTGGGAATGTGCCCGCAACCAAGGTACACGCCCTTGACCGGAATCGAACCTGGGACCCTTTAGTCCACAGGCTGACGCTCTATCCACTGAGCCACACTGGTTAGGGTGAAAGGAAAATCTTTATATTGCTTCAGGAAATGGAAAACTGATATTCACTATAAATAAAAAGTAACTGTAACCACTATTTGCCCACTATCTAGAACTGAAATATCATTGCTGACATGTACACATAATTGTTTGACATTGAAATTGGGTCTCAAAAGAACTGGTGGCTCAGAAAGAAACTGTCTACAGACTGATTCATATGCCTTTCGGCATAACGATTATTGGTTGTCTCATTTTTGATTCTTATACGTATATTTCCAGTGGGACATGATCTCGCACATCTGGGGGAAATGGTGAACAACATAGACTGATGAACAAGAACAGACCCAGAGATAAGGAGCCATGGGTCAGGCTGTTGGACCTCAAAGGGAGGGTGGGGATAAAAGGGAGAGATCAACCAAAGGACTTATGTGCATACATATGAGCCTAACCAGTGGTCGAGGACAATAGGGGGGTAGGGTCATGGGGCGGGGGGGAGTGGGGGAGTGGAATGGGGGTTGAGGACAAATATGTGATACCTTAATCAATAAAAAAAAATGTTAAAGGTAACTGTAAAAATTAAATACAATAAAAATGTTTTAATTTATTGCCTGCTAGAAATCTGCTCAGTTGGCAAGGTTGAGGGTTCGATCCCCCATCAGGGCACATACAAGCAGCAGCCAAAGAATGCATAAATAAGTGGAACAACAAGTTGATCTCTCTCTCTCTCTCTCTCTCTCTCTCTCTCTCTCTCTCTCAGGTCAATAAATAAGAAATGCAAATAATAAAGGGGAGCTTACTAAGTGTGGGAAAGCTGTTAGAGACATCCCAGCCTTCCTTCTTGAAAAAGCGAAAGGATTGTAGAGGAGTCAGATTTATCCTGCAGGGGTCCAGGCATCCCCTCACATGGTCTCATGACTTGTATAATCTTGGCTGTGCCATCCGCCAGCTGCACGTCCTAACCTCCCTGAGCCTCAGTTTCCCAATCTGAAGCTTTGGAGCATGACACCTGCCTCACGCGTAATGAGAGATGATGTTGGGGAAGTTTACTTATTTTCAGTGCCCTTGACTGAAAAGCTGGGCCAGATCATGGGTGTCATGTCTGGCATCCATAAAACTGCACCCATGGCAGACATGGCGAATCGATTGCACCCGCGCATAGCAGATCTTGCTAATAGATCCTCGTCCTCCGGAGCCTCAGTGCCCCTTCTGTAGGCAGGCCCCAATTGATCACAGCAGGCACCTGGTGGCATCTCTGACCAGGCAAGTAATCCCTCAGGCTCCTTCCACAACAGAAGCTCTTGTTTTTGCACACTCGGATTTCCAGGCAGGAGGACGGGCTGAGATGATGGTAGCCAGAAAGCTGAGAGGGCGCTGTGAGCAGGTGGGCACAGGGGACGCAGCTGTCCCTGCTGTTTCAGCAGGTGGCAATGGTCTGATGGTCCCGAGTGGATTAGAGGGTGGCCTCAGGAGCTGGAACAAGGACGGAGCAACTGGCAGGGGTGGGCAGAGTCAAGGAGAGACAGGCCCGCCCGGGTCAGATTGCAGGGCAGAAAAGCGGCACCAGCTGGGGACCAGGCAGCCGAGGGCCTGGGATCTGGGATCCGTCAGGTGCAGAGCGGAGAGCAGGAGGCAGCGAGGGCCGATGGAGGGATAAGAGAAAAGGGAGGAGAGACGGGAGGTCCTTTCAGCCTCGGGTCTCCTATTTCTCGAGCTGTATTTGTTCCCCCAGTGCCCCACCCCCACCCGGCCACCTCCACACCTCCCTGCTCCCACTCCAAGCGACTTCCAGGCCCACGGTTACCAAGAAAACTGCAGAAACAGACGGTGACTAGGAGGACACACCTCCCACCATCTAATGACTGACATTCCAGGTAACTCCGACGACAGTCAAGAAGCACTTTAGAAAGGAATGAGAAGCTAATATTTATGTTTCAGACACGGTGCCAGGCACTTCTCAAGCACATCTCTCATCACCTGGGAAACTGAGGCACGGGAGGTTAAGAAGTTCAGCTGGCCGAAACCGCTTTGGCTCAGTGGATAGAGCGTCTGCCTGCAGATTGAGAGGTCCTGGATTCAATTCCGGTCAGGTTGTGGGCACATCCCCAGGGCGGGTGTGCAGGAGGCAGCTGATCGATGTTTCTCTCTTGTCGATGTTTCTAACTCTCTATCCCTCTCTCTCCCTTCCTCTAAAAAAATAAAATAAAATAAAATAAAATAAAATAAAATAAAATAAAATAAAATAGTGCAGCCCAGATGCAAACTCAGGTGCGTGGGGCATCAGAACTCTTAGTCCTTTGCATCTATAAGGCTGCATGGGAAACAGTTACATTCGTGAAAAAAAGCAATGCAATACAAAACATAACAATCAAAATTCCATTCTAATCTTACTGACAACCAATTAAAAAACAACAGCCCACATTCCACACGTGCCATGAT